TTCTTCCCTCTCCTCTCAATTCCTCAATTGAGAAGATGGAGCATGGAGATTATGACCGAACGGGAAAAGGAAGATGAATGAGCAAAGAGACAAGGATCCACCTCGCCGTGGACGAGGGAGGTCAACAGCAGTAGGCAGTATTGCAGCTCCAAGGGGACTTGGTGATAGGGGGAGGCACGTGCAATACATTGAAGATGAAGAGAGGCTAGAGATGATAGGTCATACCATTGATGCCATTTCTGACACCCCACAACATCTCTCCGAGTTTGATGGTAGATACATGAGAGATTTTGAGGGTGAAATCATCATGAGACCTCCAGATGACTCCCACCAGCATGCTGTTGTCAACTATTCCAAGAGTTGGAAGCTGGTAGAAGAGGCAAGGGGGATCAATCCCTATATAGTACGCAAGGATTTGGGCATTGATTATAGATTTTGGAATGAGTTTCATTCCAACTTTTATGCCACTGCCATTCCTGCATCCAAGAAAACCAAGATCATCAAGATGCAGTATATCGTTTAGGATGAGATGTAGGAGAAGGAGTTGCTTGAGTTTGACAAGGTAATCAAAATTTGTGAGAGGTTCTAGCTTTCAGACATCATGGGTTTCTAGTATAACTGGAATGAGGAGGTCCTTGCACAGTTTCATGCCACATACTTCTATGACTAGACCTCTGATGAGATTCACTAGATGACTGATGGTCGACACTACCAAGTCGACTTTGTCACTTTCAGCCAGATTCTTGGCTTTGGGGAGGAGCACAGAGGTTACACTTACATTCATGATGAGCCTCGAGCTGAGATCCATGACATCAGTTACATGTGGAGAGATAGAAGGATTGCAGATGGCAAGAGGAGTGGTCTACACAGCTTCTATTACATCCTCAACAACCTCATCAGGAACACCATCAACCAAGGATGGAGCAGCCTCAGATATTAATGGCTAGTGAGAAATGTGTTGGCTAGATTTGCTTCAGGTGGGGATAGGTTCAATGTCCCTAGATTCATGTGGACTGAGTTGAAATTTGTAGTGAAGGATGGGAGGAGGGGGTTGCCCTATGCCCCTTACCTCATGTTCATGATTGAGAGGGTCACTGTATTTTATTTTTCGAAGGATGGGATGCACACCGTCTACAAAATTGAGAAGACCTAGCCAGCTGCAGCTACTCAAGGAGCGGGGAGCTCTCATGCTCATGTAGATATCCTTGAGTCTTCCCGCTCTAGGTCTCACAGATGAGGCAAGATGAAGAAGTTTGGCAAGTGGTTGAATGCAATCTTCAACAAGTGCATCTATGCATCTGACATAGTGTATGAGAAACAGCTTGAGCAGCGTCAGCAGCGTGGACAGGACCTTCCATCACTTTCTCTTATTCCACCTCCTCCACAGTATGACCTTCTGAGTCTCTCCGACATAGATTTAGATGATGAGGAGGAGCAGGGACGAGCAATAGATTGGGATGAGACTCTAGAGGGATACCATCAAAGACAGGAGCCGAGGCGTTCCACTCGTTCCACTCGCTACACCGCCACTACTCACCATCAGGGCCGTGCACGTATTGACTCCGACGACGATGATGGTGATGGTGGTGCCGGGACTGCTGCAGGAGGTGATGATATTGATTGGACGGACATCCAGGGAGATGATGAGTAGGTGTTGATCTTTCTTCTTTTCTTCTCTTTTTGGTGCTTTATGATAAAGGGGGAGAAAATTAGAGGGGTCAACAACTTTTCAACGCCATGGTCAGCAGCTGCGCTTCATGTCTTATTCGATGAGTGTTAGTCTTTGCTAGGTGAAAAGTTTGAGAGTCGCTCAAAACTCTAAATTATGAAATAATGCTACTATTTGACTTTTTGTTTGGGATATGGACATATATTAATCTATGTTGTCGCTTGTGATACAATTGTGCTAGAATGTATATCTTTATATGTATCATATGTTGTGTGGTGTCTGTTCTGATCTGTGCTGTTACAGTAAGTGCGGTAGTGCCGCACCCAGCTGCAACAACAAACCATGTTGTGCATAAACTACCATTTGCATCACGTTTTATATACCTGACACAGTATGCAGCACCCCACAGGAGCATGGATGTAGTGGGAGCCCTATCAATTTTACTAAAATGTGAATCTTGGCTTCTTATGTCAAATTTGAGAATTCAATTCTCTATTCACATACTTAGGGGGAGGCTCTACACCCATGGCTCGAAAATCTCAATATTTATTTCATATCTTTTGTAAGCTCTAATTGGGTTATCATCAATCACCAAAAAGGAGGAGATTAAAAGTGTAATCAAGCCTTAATTATGGGTTTTTGTGATAATGACCACGCAATTAGAGAACTAATGAGACTTATCGAGATGACAAGCAGGGAATTTATATTCGAGGATGCTACACGAAATGGAGGAGCCCCCAATTACAAATGTAGATGGCTTCAAACTCAAAGGAGGTTTAAATTCTTTTATATACTAAATTTGAGTATAGGAAAAGCCGTACTATAAAGGGGGGCACAATGCTTAAGCTAATATGTGCTACTAAATGCTCAAACAACCACATGCATCCTCAGATTTACAGCCAAGACAGTCTCCACTTCACTATTACCCTTGTTGTCTTGTGTGGTGCGAGCTCCGTCACGCCCGACCCCTTGGGTGCGGGCTCTGACTCGCCCGACCCCTTAAGTGCAGGCTCCGTCTCGCCCGACCCCTTGGTCGTGGGATCTGGCTCGCCCGACCCCTTGGTGACGGCTCCGTCTCGCCCGACCTCAAGGCCACGGGTTCTGTCTGGCCCAACCTCGAGGCCACGGGCTCCGTCTCGCCCGACCCCTTGGTCGCAGGATCCGGCTCGCCCTACCCCTTGATCGCGGCTCCGTCTCGCCCGACCTCGAGGCCGCGGGTTTTGTCTCGCCCGACCTCGAGGCCGCGGGCTCTGACTTGCCCGACCTCTTAGGTGCAGTGTCCATTATGGGCTGGGGGCAAGATCTGGGATTCGACCGAGACAGTCCAAATTTCGGCGAAATTCGTCCATTTCGGTTAGGTCCGAAACAAATTTTGGGCTTCAAATCTCGAAATTTCACCGAATTGAGTCCAAAATTAGACCAAAATTTCCCGAAATTCGTCCATTTCGGTTGGGACCGAAATTTTTTCCAAAATGAATCCCAGAACCTTGGCTGGGGGTATATATATTTTTCTTTCCTCCCCAACGGTTATTTACGATTTAAGTGACCGTTGGGGCTGGGGGTATATATACCTTTCCCCTTCCTTCCCAACGGTAACCTGCTCTGTTCTTCTTCACTTCAGCATGTTAAAAAACAGAGTAGGAGCTCTCTCTCTCACTTCATTGTTGACCTCAAGCCCTCAAGCAAATCCATCGATTTCTCCATCAATCCTTGAGGGATAAGGGTCCAAAACTCAATTGGAGAGCAGCTCTATTGATTACCAAACTCTAAAGAGCACTTGGTTAACGTTTTAGCCAGCGGTTGTGTTTGTTACTCTTGAAGCTTGGCTCCTAGCTGGCTAGAGCGTTGCCCGTGGAGGTTGCCAATTTGTGTGTTAGCCCCGAGAGGTTTGTAACAATCTCTTGAAGTTAGTAAACTCACCCATTTTTATCAAGAGTTAAGTTTATTGACTTAAGAACAAGAAAGGGCTGGAAAGCTCTAAACCTTAGTGGCTAACCTCAATAACGTAGAGGTAGGCAAGCTTTGGTGGCGAGCCGAACCATGGGATAAATCATTGTGTCATTTGTGCTTGATTTACATTACTTGCATGATATATTATGGTTGAGGTGATTTCTAAAGTTTGAGGCTGATCTACTTATGTGTGGTGTTCCCACCACTTTCAGCTGTCGATCTGTGATTTACTACCCTACAGGAAGCTAAGTAATTTACCCGATCTAAATTTTGTTGGATAGATTTTGAATTGTGAACTAATCTCTCCTGCAGGCACGGCAGTGCTGCGCTCACAGAGCGACAGTGCCACAGGTGAATTTGACTTCGGTTTAAGTTGAATTTTTACAGGCATATTCACCTCCCCTTTAGGCGTACCAGAGATCCTACAGAGACGGATAAAAAAATGGATGGACGAAAAAATACCAAAAAAATTGCCAATTTATTATTAGGTATAGATACTCCATCTGTCCAGAAAAGTATGTAACTATGGATTACGTGCCACATAAAGTTGTTCATGTTTATATAAATTTTTAGTGAATAATATTTATATTTATGACTCAAAATAAATCTATTATAAAAATATATTTCATAACTAATCTAACGATATTTATTTGATGTTATAAATATTTATAGGTTTTTATCTATAATTGGTTAAACATAGTATACTAAAACATGGTACTCTGTTTGAATCGTATGTTTTCTTGACAGGGGAGTATATACTACTAGCCTGTTAATAGGAGTAAATATTAACACTGACGATACAAAATTAATACCATTAGATTAGTTATAGCATATATTTTTATATTAAATTTATTTAGAAATATAAATGCTAATAATATTTATTATAAATTTAGTTAAATTTAATTAAATTTGACCGGCAAGACTCCTATAATTATGTTCTTTTGTGGACGGAAGGAATTGACAGATAAAAGGAGTATTCTTGGACGGGTGCAGCGTGCATGAATCATAAACCGCCGTTCTGTCTGAGCGTATATTGTATCAAATAATACACAGCGGCACTACTAGCCAAACCATAGTTTAATATACCTTTTGTTTTTCATAAACCAATTTTAACATTTGCATTTATAGACTGAACACAAATTTGTTTTCCAACAACTAGTCTAGACAAGGTTGTCACGCGAGCTAATTGCATCATTTAGCCACACTATAGGCCTAATGACATGATTTATTTAAAAAATAGAGGAAAAAATATTTCTAATGATTTTTTTAGTAATAAAATAGGTTCTAAGCAAAAGAAACCTTGTTGTCCCAGCCCCTGCCCTGTCTTCTTGAAAAGAAAAAGGAAAATCAAAACAAAACAAAGGAAGGGGAAAAAAAAAACATGGCGATGGCTCTTCTCCCAACCGTTCGTCTTCTTCCACTAACGTCCTGCAGAACAACAGCACCAACCTCGTCGCCATTATCCGTTCGCCGTCCACGGCCAAGAGCCCTTTCCCTCCCTGGCGTCCACTGCTGCGCCAGCCGGACCCCGCACCCCCTCGCCGCTGCTAGGGATGCTGCTGCTTCCTGGGCCGGGAAGCTGGCCGGCGCTGTGCCATGGAAAGCCGCGGTCTCCGGCGTGCTCGCCGTCGCCGTCTCCTTCACCTGCCGTAAGCTTTGCTTGGTCTTTACTTCGGCACTTAGATTTACAATGCTTCGGGGAACATTCCCGAGTGAAGGAGGTGGAAGGGCATTGGTTCCGAATTGCAGTAAAGAATGTTATTTGTGTGTAGAACTAGAACATGCCCTCGCTTCTTCACCAATCTATACTTTTGTTGTAGGTTTGTAGCTGCCTATGCCTAGTTGAGAAATATGAACTGGGGAAAAGTTTGGGATAAGAATAGGGGAGGCTGTTCAAGTAAAATGCAGAGATACGACAGCTGAATTTTAATTAACTCTGCTGGGGTATTGCACATAGCTGTATTGTAACAGGTGTATGGTGAAGGAGAGTAATGGAGTACCTAAATATTTGCGAGATTAAACTATAGCTTGAATAGCTGCCCTGATCAAGTTCTGGCTTTATATTTCACTCCATATGCTGCCATGCAGTGCTGGTACCGTTTTTTATCAATTCATTAATCTGTCGTTTTTCCTCTTTTCTTTCTGGCATGTCTAGTAAAAAAACGAAGCATAAAATATTTTTTTTGGGGGTAAACTTGCCTTTTGTTCTCCAGTAAGTGTCAGTTAACATCTGGTACTTGCAGTTCTTGGTTTGGCCAATGCCAGAACTGGGGTAAACAAACCAGAATTGCTTCCTAAAGAATTTACTACCGTCATCGATGTTGCTGGTTTTCTCTCGTCAGGCCAGGTATTTCCAGTCCATTACGTTACACTCAGTATTTTGTTTCTTCACAGGCATGATGTTTAGTCCCAGATGAACAATATTGATAACTAGATGATGGAAGAATCAAACTGATCAAAATCAACAAATGCTGAAGATCCCAATACTATTTATTCTTCTAGGATTAGATATCCTGAGTGTCCTGCATATTTTTCCCAGGAAGAAGGGAAAAAATAAACATTTATATAGCATATAAATTGTCTAATTGAGGCACTATTCATGATCCGTTCATCTTGCCATATATATCTTTCCTAAAATGTCTTATCTCTCATGTTATGTCTTATATTGATATGAAGAGGAATACTTGCCTTGATAGCTTTTTTGTTCTACCTGAGATGCACTCTGTCTTGTTAGCTACACATCAATCATAGAGGATGGTTATTTGTTCTTAGGAAAACCGTTTGCGCCAAGAGATAGAAGACTTGGAGAAGGATACAGGATACAAACTGCGAGTTCTTGCACAAAATTATCCTGATACACCTGGTGAGCTTTCTTTAACTATATATATGGTCCAATATATGGTACACCCTTGGCTTGCTTTCTGTTGTTTCATCACTATTTCATTAAGAGATACTTACAATCTTGGTATGCTTACTTGCAGTTTCCTAACTTGGATAGTCAATCTCTTCTTACGATGTCTTAATTAACCACGTGAAAATGACCAAATATCATTACCTTAATGAAGTTTGGTATTGTTGTTTTTGCACTACAATAGAAATGTTAGAACTATAACACAGTTTTTTTTTAAGAAAAAAAAACTCTCGAGATGGGTAGGCTTGTAGATGTTTGTTGTTCCTAAGCCAAGTTCTGCTAGAACATTCTGGAAATACCATTTTCAAGTCCCAGCGACTACAACACAACCCCATTCATGATTGTTTCTTTGGTCTTTATATGTTCTCTCTTTTTAGTTTATGGTTCCAAGTTTGGTTTATCACATCAGCTAAGTTGGTATCCTGTACTGCTGTACTCCCTGCAGACCTGCAGTTTAGTTTATGATATGGCCTTTTCTCCTATATAGTATGCTACATCCTTTCAATTAAATTTCCAAACATCTCTCTTGTACTTTTAGAATAATTCATATGACCCTTCTTTCATCTAAGGGAAAGCATTTAATTGTACCATTAGTCCATGACTGAACTAAATACTAGCAGGATGCAAATCCCTATATTGTCATGACTCTGCATGTGATGTCCTATTGTTGCAATTTGTTTCATTGCTGTTTGGGCTGTATTGTTCCAGGATTGGCTATCAAAGATTTTTGGCAGGTTGATGAGCGTACTATTGTTTTTGTTGCTGATCCAACCTTTGGTAAGATACTTGCAGCATAATGGCCAAGTTTTTTTCTTCTTCTTAATGTTGCGACTGTTTATCTTGAATGTCACTTTTGATCAGTGCAAAAGGGAAAAAAATAAAATGGAATTTGAAGAATTTAATTAATGGACTGGCTGAACAAACTAATTGGAAGGTTTGTTCGCTGAATCCAGTTATGGAGAGTTTTCTGTATTGCACTAAATGCTATAGTTAGCATGGCACAATTTTACCTTTTCTTTTTACATAATTGAAGAATTGAAAAGCTATAAATCCATTCCTTGCAACTGATCCACATAAGTTTGAAACATATTGCCCTATTGCTGCTGGTGATCCATCTATGTCAAGCTTTGTCAATGTGCATACTCTTGCTTCATAGCAATGCTGTTAATCCATTCAAATTGAATATGATGTTATTAATAAGAATCTATAGCTGTGTCTATATGACGATGTCACCAAATAGAATTTTAGCACCCAATATCATGGCATTCTTATGTGTACCATAAAAATACTTTAACTTTATTCGATGTGATATTTGTTGGTGAGTCATATGTACTGAATCTGTGAATCTTTTGGTAGGTAACATAATAAATTTCAACATTGGTCCATTAGTTGATTTAGACATCCCTCGGAGCTTTTGGAGTCAGGTTTCAGGGAAGTATGGGAACATGTTCTACTGGAAAGAAAAGGTGACATTCTATTGTTTGACCTATTAGTTATCGTAATATATTCATATTGCATTGCAGTACTTGTTCCTTGCATCACTTTTGTATTCCCAATTCATCGACAAAATATGTTTTAAATGCCAAATTAGCCTTGGAATCCTACCATAGTTTATAAAGTCTTGAATTTGTCATGGGGACCGTTTATGCCTTGTGTCTCATTGCCGTAAACTCTACTAAGATCAACAACCTAAATTTCCAATAGGAGACTTATAGATGTTGAGGAAAATATACATCATCATGTTGAAACACTAGTGAGGGAGTCACCATGCAGGAAGTATGTAATCAATGAAAATGAGACGTTGACGAGTCATGCCACTGGTATGTAGGTGAAACAACTGCGCACCATTTTTGCAGCTTCCTGGCAGATTTACAAGTAAACTACAAAATATTTAAAAGTAGGGCTGCTCAAAACAATGTTATTTATATTTTCGTTCTCTATTTTGTAGTTTACATCTATGGATGGAATTTTGTCTTTATTTATTGGTGTCGTTGCTTATCTTGAACATGAATCAGGGAGAGGACGCCTCAATTGAAGCTGCTGTGACAGCAATATCACGCTGTCTAAGAAACCCGACGGGGACAAATAACTGTTCGGAGGTATTATAGAAAGTAAAGAGTTATATCGCCCAAAGAAACACGGAAAGGACAACTGCATGTGTACAGAAGTGAAACATTAGAACAACAGAGACTATAGATGTCTCATCGTCTCCAGAGAATTAAAGGCTTTACTCTTTCAAATTGAGAGCATTTATCTGGTTGTGAATATGGTTATTTTTACAATGCAAGTGTGGACTTTAAAAAGTTGTACAAACAATCATGCTAGAACATTTTATGCATGCAACATTTCTTTTTGGAATTGTTTGGGATTATATTAATCTAGAGAAATAGCACACTTCTTTCCACGGAAATGTACAGGTTACATCAAATTAGGTCATCTTCTTTTCTTCCTGTGCTCTTCGCTATTTGTAGCCGCACCCCATTTGCAGATCAAAACACTAATGCTTGAAAGCAATCATCAAACCGATTATTGCTGATGACCAATGAGGGCACCTTTCGCGAATTACAGAATATCTTATCCCTTGATGGGACTTAGACATCTTCATATTATTAGGTCCATGAAAGAACTAAGCCCACTTTTAGCTCTAAGGGCTAATTGTAATTATATATCTCACCAAGGTTCAAGAGGGAGAAAACCTTCTTCCCCTTGGGAGACTGACAATTAGGTCCTCTCTATCCAAATGATATTGTGGCATAAAATCATAATTAGATCTTTAGGCGTAGAAGTGTATTAAGGTTTTTCATGGTCCTTTATGAACTTGTCTAGATGATAGGCACCGTTTGGATCATTGGAATTGAATTCATTTTAAGAATTATAATTTAGACGCATATTAATTAAGCTAATATGGTTGTATATGGATTATATTTGTATATTATTATTGGCTATACGAGAGAGTGTGTTACATTTCTACCCTAGGGGAGTGAGTTGAGAAGCGTGTTATAAGTTGCAAAGTAGAAACATAGAATGGTGATATATAGAATCAATTTCTATCTCTTAACCTATGAATTTAAGATAGACTTATATGTCAACTTTGGAAAGTGGTGGAATGTTAAATTTCAAACCAAATAACCTAATTTATTAAGTAGATTTCAATTCCTTCAAATGAAAGGATTCAAACGGCCCCTTAAAAAAAATATTCAATCTTTTGGATTTTATATATATTATTAGTAGTCTTAGTGGGGTTTCATATCCTACTTTTCAAGACTTATATATGTTGTAAGGAAAAGTAGGATATGAAACCCCACTAAGACTACTAGTAGCAGAAAGCTACTAACGGCACGGCGATGGCGCTCTAACGGTCGGGACGACCGGACGCATCCAGTCAGACGACAGCAGCGTCCGGTCAGTAGCAGAAAGCTAGATTTCGCCTCCAATGGCTACTTTCTCTATGGGGCTTATAAATAGATCCCCAACCGGCCATTTGAGATATGGAGAGCTGAGGAAACATACCAAGGGTGTTGATACACAATTTTAGTGATCTCCACTTGCATAGTGATTAGTGATTCATTAGGTGATTAGCGTAGGTGCTTTGCGAAGTGCTTAGGTTGATTAGACCACCGCTTATGCGCTTGCTCTAGGTTTAAGCCTAGTGTTTAGTGAGGTTTGCATATCTCTTACCACTCGGTGTTTGCGCACACCATTGTTGTACATCGAAGGGCTCGTAGTCTTGCGAGATCACACCACCCGCGTTTGTGGTGTGGCCGCCACTGTGTACCGGAGGGAACAAGGCCCGCGGCGTTTCGGCCGAAAGCTTGATAGTGAAGACGGCGGGGAGCGGTTCGTGAGAGGCTTGTCGAAAGGCATACCGGAGACCCACTTGCGCGTGGGGAAGGCCTGGGGCTATCCACGGAGTTACTCGATCGGGAGCTTGGCCCTTGTGAGGGATTCCTGGCGAGGGGCTCCAACGAGGACTAGGGGGAAGCTTGCGCACTTCTCGATACCTCAGTAAAAATACCGGAGTCGTCGACGGGAGTTTGCATATCTCTACCTTACTCCTTAGCTTCCGCATTTACATTATTTGCATAACTCTTTTTGCGGTAGAGATAGCAACACACTAGCAAAACCGTAGTTGCACATTTAGATAGATTATCTTGTTGCATAGGTTTTGCTAAGGATAGAAAAAGAGGCCATAGTTTTGAGTTAGAGTTTTAAGTTGCCTAATTCACCATCCTCTTATGCGTCACGGTCCCTTTCATATGTTGAATTTGTAAAACGAATCCGTAATTTCTAAGTAGAAATTCCAAGCCTTTGTACATTCATGATAGTTTCAGATACCTCGGCTATCACGTGTAATCCTATATACAGATGATTTCAGATATATACATGACATTTATATCTAATTTTATTCATAAAATTGAAATTACTTTCAATTAAGCCTAATACTGTTTTGTTTCCCATCTTCTTGGATACCTGCCCTCTACTGTTTTTGGAATCAACTACAAACAGTCCTTCGGGTTCCCCTAAATGTCTCGAAGGTTTTTAGAATTTTAGTTATCCTAACATTAATATTAAAAGCAGGAGCTTTTTTTTTGAACATCGTCCATTCCATCCAATGACAAGTGGGCCCTTGTCGCTCCTAAACCTCCCTATAGCTTGTTAGGACTATGTGATCATCTAATGATCTAAATTAATTCAAAGAGTATACATAACAAATAAAATAGAGTGTAGCTTGCTGAGTCATCCATTTTGGATCGGTAATGCTCCACCCGCTGCCCCAACAACGGATGCTACGTGGCCTCATGTGGTCCATGTATTTTTTCATCACACCAATATCTACTCCCATCAGGTGGCCACACTTATCCTCTTTGGTTGCATCTCCTCTCTCTCTCCTCCACCTCTCCATTCAAAGCAATAGGGAGAGGAAGGATGTCGTGGAGCCTATGACTCTCCTCGTCTTGAACTCGTGTGCTTGCCAGCCAAGGGGTGCTCGTTAGGTGTGCTCATCGGCTGCTGGCTGCTCGCTAGGGGTGCTATAGGGGGTGCTCGCCGAGCAGGCCGCCGTGCTCACCAGAGCGCTGCTCTCGTGACCTCATGCAGGTGCTCGCCCAGCTCACTGCCTCTGCTAAGGCACGGGCGACACTGCCTCCGCTGGGGCACCGGCGAGTTCTATGCGCCTCCGCCGACCTCCACGCCGGCATCGAGCTCCGCAACGATGAGCCTCCATTCGTCTAAGCAAGGTGATATTGCACTGAAAGCACATGTTACAAGCATATGTTTTAAGTGTTTCAGATGTTTCAGAGGTGTGTTGCAAGTGTTTCACATAAATGTTGCAAAAGTAGATCGGGATGTTGCACATGTTGCAATGGCTATACACGTATGTTTCAAGTGTAGGTTCCAAATATTTCATTTGTTTCAGATGTATGTTGTAAGTGTTTCATCTGGGCGTTGCAAAGGTAGATCTGGATGTTGCATATATATGTAAGTGTTTTGAATGTTTTCATACGTATGTTGCAAGTGTTTTCATTTTGATGTTTGCAATGGCCATACACGTGGTTTCAAGTTTTTTCTGATGTTTTTGCAAGTGTTTCAGATGGATGTTGCAAGTGTTTTAACTATTTCGGACATATAGATTTGTTGTTGCACGTGTTACAGTGGGACCCACCTACCGCAGCCTCCTGCTACAGCTGCTGGACCCACGTGCATGCGCGTGGGAGCGGAGGGGGTGTAACACCCCGGTGTTATGCCTACATTTAGGCACTGCAAATCATGCATATCATGCATCATCAAGCATCCAAATCATACATGCTTAATCATGTGAATAACAATTGAAACATTGCTTTTAAACATCTGAAACATGCATGAAACCTGAATGTTGCATACACCTGTTTAAGAATTGTTTTGCCCTGAATTTTCTTGCTAGGTTAGTAAAACATGTTTGGATACTATTGTAAATCATCTAGCAATGTTTAGTTCAATTTTTGGAGCAATGTTTGTATTCAAATTAATTCAAAATTTGGCTTTAAAAATAAATTCCCAAAATTAGGGTTTTGAGCTAAACGTGGACTTTGATCTTACAATTCAAAATCTAGAAAGAATTTGGCTGTGGTCCTAAAAGCAAAGTTGTAGAGAATTAAATTCTAAGCAACTTTCATTTTTGGTTCATTTTCAAAAGAGGTCATTTTCTTGCTCAAAATAATATTTGAAAGATGGCATTTAAAAATTTCCTTGAAAATATATTTGGAAAAGGATCTTTCTCCTTCAGTGGGCAGCCGCCTCTCGCTTACAGCCCGTCTGCGCCAAACCGACCCAGCCAAGATCCCAGCAGCGCGCCTCGCCTCGCTCGGCCAGCCCAAAGCGCCATTGCGCTTGGCCTCACCTCCTCCCTGCCACACCCACATCACAACAAGGCTTGGCCACGACCACCGTCGAGGCTTGCCGCGCAGGTGGCGCCACCCGTCGGCAATGACGACACCACGTCCCACGCGTCGCGGCAGCTCCGCACTTGCTGGCCATGACTTGAATCACCGCGCGCCCACCGCATTCCAGCGCTCCTCACTTCTCCTCTCACCGCGCGCCCGCCATCGCCACCGCGCTCCGCGCCTTGCCGGAGCTCGCTCGCCCGGCCACCTCAGCTCGCCGGTGACCACTCCGTCTAGCCTACAACTCCGCCGTCACCCCGCGCACCCCGTGCTCTCGCTGTTTTACCGTGGTAAGCATCCCGTCCTTGGGAATTGCTCGCCGGAGCACGGCCGAGCTCGCTGGTGAGCTCCGCTCCCGTGGACTCCTCCTCCCCGCTCCTCTCCCTACCTTTACTTCATGCACACAAGCACCGCACGGCGACGTTGAGTCTCCCGAGCGCCTCCTTTCACCATGCCGTGGCCGGAGATGCTCCACCGGCGACTACCCGCGCCGCCGCTCCGCCATTACCGTCGCCGAGCCTTTTTCCCCTGCACTGCCCCTCCCTATTCACCTCTATCCGACGCGGTTTGGCATGGGGAGCATGTTGGTGCCCTCCGTTTCGCCGGGGACCTCGCTGTCGGTGAGTTTCACAGCTGCCGCGCCGTCGTCCCTCTCCGTCCCCTGTTTTCTCTCGCTGGCGTGCGGGCCC